GGAGAGGTCCCTCCAGCCCAAACTGGTCTGTAATTCTATAACTTCTCCTGGAATGATACTCTATCTCAGCTACACTTCAGTGAAATAAAAGAAGTGGGAAATCAGGAGCATGGATTTCTGTGGGCCCTGCATGTATCATCATACTCATTAGGCTGCAGCATTTTAAGGGCCAGGATGAAGTTGGGAATTTGAGAAGGCAGTGATGGCATTTGTGCTCAGACTGCAAGGGCTTGGACTTGTGATCCTTTTTAAGGGCGGGAAGATGAAGGAAAGATGTTCAAGAAGGCTGAAGGCATGGAAGTGGGATTCAGGCTTTGGAGTGTCACGGCAGGAGGAGGATGGAATGCAAAGGGTGGCGTGTAAAAGGGAGGAAGGCATTAAGAGAGTGAGAGTGACAGCATAGCATCCTAATTCAGAGAAGGAGAAAGATCGGTCTGTCACAGAACTCGTGTAAAGCTCCAGTTTCATCTTGGTACCCAGGCACATTCGGCATGGCTGTTTCTGAAATGAGATGCTGACTGTGAGCATTATGTGTTTTTAAAATTCATTTGAGTCTCAGTTGTGTGCATTCTCCACGAACATTTAAAGGATGTAGCACCTTGTGAACTTCCATCTTAGAATACCCTAAAAAATGGAAATCCTAGAACCATTTCCGTGTTTCTTTTGGCATTTCAAAAGCCTGGAAAAAGACCTCATAGAAAAGCTTTGAGGAAAAAGTATTTCCAGTCATATGCTGATTTGTATGAGGACACAGTGGGCTTGACCAGAACTGAGTTTCATCATGCAGGCTATTAAATCCTGGCATTCTTCTTAATATAATTAAAACAAAAAAAAAAAATCCAGGACCAAAGACATGAGATGTAGAAGTTCTTTTTTTGGACAGCACCAGCAGGTAGAGCCACAGGGGCAGACTTCCTGCTTTCAAATAAGCAGGTGGACTTGCACGAGCAGTATGAGCCATTACTTACCTGATGAGTAGAAATAGATATGTATGTGTGTATATTTTTCAGTTTGATCACATTTAATACTCACATGTTTTTGCTATGAGTCAATCATTTCTCTTCCATATTGAGTCAATATACTCCTGTGATTAAAAACATATACTGCAGGAAGTTTATGTAGGTAATACTAAGATCAAAATGAAGGTGAAATTATTTTAATCTTCATGTAATTATTTAACTTTCTTACCATCTGCATTTTTGAAGGCTATCCTGACTGTCACCTTTACGATAATCAGCTAATAAATCCTCATGATTGTTACACCTTTATGCATAGCAGTAATCTGAACAAATTGGCTGCTGACAGCTGCAATAAATTGCCAAGAATGAGTGCTGTCAGAGAACAAGTTGTTTCTGTGAACATCCAGGATAAGTAAATCCCATGTCATGCAGTTTTATTCAGCTGAAGTTATTTGCAGTCCAGTAGGGCAGGATTTATAGCATTATATATTGGTATGAAAAATGCGTGTTTATCTTTAAAATGACATTGACTTCTACTTATATTTTGTTCCGGGAAATCACTGCTGACTTCATCTGTATCTATTTTCATCAGTATTAATAGATGATACTATCTTTTTTTCCCATCTGATGCAAATTAAGGATAAAACCTTGTGCCTGGTATATTCATTAAAGCTATGTATTAATTTTATCTCTGGAAAATCTCTGGAAAACTGAAATGTCCTATAATCTCTCTAAATATTGTCATGAAAATTCAGAGCGATTTTGTGTGTGTGTGTATGGGTACACACCATATAACGGGTTTTAAGAAATACACAAGCTAAAATACTGAAAATAAAGTATTTAGGTTTTCAACACCTAATCTGCTATGTCTTCTCTGTTTAGTTTTTCCATAGTAATGAAGCCGTAGACGGTTTTTTGGGTGCACATAAATACAAGCAATATGCAACCTATGCTGCTGCATTATTAATCTGAAAGCACAGGGATACACTACTCAAAGTTTTAAAAGTGGGATTTTTATATAAAGTATTTATGTTTTGGTGTTTTGGGGTTTCTTTTGCCACTGAACTTCATGGAATTTCACTATGGGAGAACTGAACGTTATAAGAGAGAACTCAATGGTGCTGTAAAGCTGTGCATGGGTACTCCAACATGCATATAAAGTTGAGTGAAGGACACTAAATATGCTACTGCTGATGTTTCTTCCCAGATTTTTTCCTGGAGATGTTGTAGAGACTGTGGTTTATATTAAAAAACTGGCAATTTGCCTTTTTCGGTATTGTTGCCTGAGAAAGAGGTTTTGAATAGTAGGTGTGAAAGTCTGTATTTTTGTTGAAATAGATGAATCTTGAAGTTTTCTCAGTTTTGCAGAACTCTATAGAGACAAAATGTATGCCTCTAGATTTGTAAATAGTACTTTATTATGCTGGTCTTTCAAATATTTTTTTCACATGGTGGTTTGAAAATTTCTGCATGTGGAAGTAGCTTTGGAAGGATATGTTATTTTAGAAGTTTAAACCTAATGGTTTATATACTATTGTAATTTGGATCTTGAACTCTGTGCATGTGTGAATTACACAGCAGTTCCGTGCAAAGACAGAGAAGCACACAACCAACAGCCTGTGTATGTGATAGTTTGTTTTTTATACATGATGACTAAAGTTATATTATTGCAGAAGCATTTCTCTATCTAAAATGAAGGTTTTGCCCAAAGCATTAAAATCGAAAAATGCTGCTGGCAGGCCTGCCCTTGATAAATCCAGAGATGTGCT